AACATTTGGTCCGGCCGCGCCTCAGCCGGAGGCGGGGCACCAGCGGGGCACCGCGCGGCACCGGCCCCCGGAGAAAAATCATTTGGTCCGGCCGCGCCTCAGCCAGGGAAGGCTATCTTCTCGCCCGCCCACGCGGCCTCGCCTGGCCCTTTCGCACGGCGCGCGCGAACGCGAAACCGAAACCGATTTCCCAGTAGGGGGGCTCTCCGTTCCACTTCGATCTCACCCCTTCACCTCCGACACCTCGCCACGTGCAGACGTGCTAATAGAGAGATAAGGACCTAGGTAACGAACTTCATCTTTAACTCTCCATTGCAGCTGCACATCGGCCTCCGGGAGTCCCACCGCACGGAATAACTGCTTACATCTATGTACCCCCTGCGAGAGAAGTGCATCAACAACTCGCGCTTAGTCGCGCTATGACCGCAAAGTAGGCATGCAAATAAGTATCCAGGCAACGATCGGCTGCAACAGGCTTGGCAATAAGCTCTGAAATGACATCTCTGGGTTCGCAATGATGATCTTATGGAGGTCGTCCGTGTATTTATATAATGATAGATTTGCCCAGAATGATTCCCAGCTTGCAAGAAGGAGGCGAGAAGGTGGATCTGAACGCTGCTGGTCAAACTTCCATTGGAGCACAGGGCGGGAGAACGCACGGACGAAGGTCTTTACCGCGAGCGGGTCCCCCATGTTGTTACCAACCCCCGAATAGTTCACCCTCTGGTGCTTCCAGATTGATGACGGCCGCCCGGTACCTCTGCTGGCAGATCACATGGTCGCGCGCTGCGGCGCTCAACCGAACCGTCTCGCCAACCTCGCCCCAATCTGAGCTCCCAAAGGCGGTGGCCATATCTTTCAGGGTCAGGGAGTGGGTCCAGTTAGATTGCATGATTCTCCAGCTCATAGATAGCACTGCCATAGCCGCATCTTCGCGCCGACAAATCTTAAAGAAGCCATGACCGGACGAGGCAGCAGTGAGGCATAGTAAGCTTTGCCCCACGAAGACATAACATGTACAACACGGCACCCCAGAGGACCCGCAACATTGCTAGCCTTCTTTAACCCACCCCCCTCCGTACGATGCCAGCACAACGGCGTAAGATTGCGCGCGCGGATCCTACGCAGACCCACCGAAAACAAACAAAACACTTAAACGAGTTCGTGTAAGGTCGGCCCGCATCGCCCCCCAGTCCCTGGCGACGATCGAACTCACGCATTTGACGACCAGGCATAAGTAAGCATCATGTGCCAGAGCTCGAGGGGCCCTTAATCCTGGAACAGCTCGACGACGCGAGGCACGACGAATGTCAGGTATTACTCGGTCCGCACCTTCCTTAGCTAGCCCAACGACTTCTTCAGAAGGGTCACATAGAAACTGCTCGTTACGCTGCTCTTTCCGCTCCTCCCAGTCCTGATCCACCACCTCCACCCCTCCTGATGCCCCCTCCTGACTCCACGCGTCGAGCCAGGCTTGGGCGGTTGGAGGCTTTCCCTTCACCACCGAGCCGTCGCGTTGCATCGGGCCGATCCGTGTCCTGGCGGCCCGTCTGGCGAGGCGCATCGCCTCAGCTGGTCGACCCTGTTTCCAGTGCTCCGAAGCCTCTGAAACAAGCTGGGAACGATGTGCACGTATATGGCGGCGGCGAACAAGTTTGAGCTCCTGAGAGACGCCCCAACTCTTCGTCCAGTTCATGGATCACCGAGGGGCACGCGCGCAGCTTCATACCTCGTATCTCCACTCTCCTCCTGAGAAGCTCACGACGCTCAGCACAACGAGACCGATCAGATTCGTCATGTACCACACTTGCTCTAAAAACTCGGTTGGCCAGCGGTAGTAAGGCAATTGTCGATGGTTTCGAGGATCTCGTCGGGGGGCCCGTTCTCTTTCAGCCAGGGGAAGGGGGCGCGATCCAGCTCAAGTCTAGAAGCCTCGAGAAATGCACGACGCGAGCGTCCCCCAACGAAGCGCGAGCATCATCCGATCCCTGTCCCACCTCGCCTTCCCCACCTCCTCCGACAACGGGCCCCCGACATGTTTGCTATACGACATCGTACACGATATAGGCAGGTGATATCGGCGAAAGGTCCAGAAATCGTTTGTAGCTTCGCCCCCAAATGGTGGAGAACGTGACACTGGCTAACCAGCTCACGCTTGCCTTGTGGGCAGAATAAGTAGTCAATACGTGAGTTCCCTCCATCATTGCCGAAGAACGTGGGCGCCACCCTGTCCCCCTCCGTGTTACCCACGAAGAAACCGTGGGGGCCTAGGACTTCCCGAAGTCGTTCCCCCGTTCCTCCCCAAAACCTCTGCTGATTGCCAGCCTCCACAAGCGACGTTTCAGCAACCCCCTTGCACCCAGGAGGGACGCCCAGGTCGTCATTCGCATCACGGAAGAGAAACGGTGTGAAGCGGACGGGGAGGGCCTTGAGCACTGTCTCCAGACAGCCGGTCAGCAGGCCAACAGTCTTCAAGTAACGAGGGCGCTGAGACAAACGAGGCGGGCGAGGAGGGAAGTAGAGGGATATGGCGCACACGTCGTACCTGCCGCGTCTGACACGTACAGTCAGAGCTCCGCCGTTAGCCTCAGGGGGCGATGGCCATGTCTGATGAACATGCCGATCCTGAATGCCATCCCCAAACACCACCGAGCATCGACAACTATACGCGGCTTCAGCGACAAGTCTGCCTGCAACCTGACGACGAGATACGACGCTGCTTGTAAACTGTTGACGACGATCTTGCTGGTGGGTCCCCGCTTGAAGAACGATGTCATGATTCTGAGTCTCTATAACAACCTCCCCCAACCGAGAATCTGATCACCACATAGGATTTCAACCGAGAAAGCGAAGCTGCGTCATCACACCGACCAGCCGCCGCATGAGGGAGCGGCTAGAAGCACGATTGCTGGGGAGTGTGCGGGGGGGGCCAACAAGGAACTGCCTCAATGCCTATCTCACCCACCCGCGGTGAGACCTCGGGCCCGTGGGCTAGAGGAAGAGGAGGAGGAGGAGGAGGAGGAGGAGGAGGAGGAGGAGGAGGAGGAGGAGGAGGAGGGAGGAGGAGGGAGGAGGGAGGAGGGAGGAGGGAGGACGGAGGAGGGAGGCGGGAGGAGGGAGAAGGCAGAAGGCAGGAGGCAGGAGGCAGGAGGGAGGAGGAAGGAGGGAGGAGGGAGGCGGGAGGAGGGAGGAGGGGGAGGGAGAGAGGGAGGGAGGGAGGGAGGAGAAAGCAGGAGGAGCAGGAGAAGGAGGGAGGAGGGAGGAGGAGAAGGAGAAGAAGGGAGGCGGGGGGAGGAGGAGGGAGGTGGGAGGAGGACGGAGGAGAAGGAGGGAGGAGGCGGAGGGAGGGGGAGGGAGGAAGGAGGAGGAAGGAGGAAAAAGGAGGAGTGAGGAGGAGGGAGGAGCGAGGCGGAGGCAGGAGGAGGAGGAGGAGGAGGAGGAGAAGGAGGAACGCCCCACCCCCTTCTCCCCATCTGCCCCACAATCTCTCCCATCCTCCCCGCTGGCTCGCTGCTTCACGACCGCCTGCCAAGGCAACCCCGTGTCCAGAGGAAGAGCAGGAAGGGGGGCCCAAAATAGCGAGGCGATGATCGTCGGTGCCCCCTCCTCCTGCTCCTCCTGATCCTGTTCCTTCTCCTCCCCCAACTGCTCCATGCATGTCCTGTCCTCTCCTCGCTCGTGGGAGAGAGAGAGAGGGAGAGAGAGAGAGAGAGAGAGAGAAAGAGAGAGAGAGAGAGAAAGAAAAAGAGGGGGGAAGAGGAGAGAGGAGGTGGTGGGAGGAGAGAAGAGGGGGGGGGAAGGGGGAAAAGGGGGGAGGAGGGGGGAGAGGGGGGAAGAGGGCGGAGAGAGGGGGGGCGGGGAGGAGGAGGGAGGGGGAGGAGGGGAAGCAGGCAGGGGGGAGGTGGCAGGGGCGGGGGGAGGGGGGCAGGGGGGAGTCGGGTCCAGGTTCTGGATTCTCTGAAACGAGATCTGGAGCCCATGAAAGTAAGTTGATGCTGACACTCTCTTTCTCTCTGATGTGTGTAGGACACTCCTCATTCGACTCTCTCCTCTCTTCTCGGCTGCTCGCAGAAGTGGCCCTTCGCAAGAAGAGTGGCCTCTGATGCGAGGCTGGCCGATCGATGCGTGCGATGCGACCGTGGCGGCCCGCGTGCTTGGGCTTGCCACCCCCCCTAAGACGAAGTCAGGACGAAGATAAAATCGGGTGACAGTAAATCGAGAATCTCTGAGATCCTGCCGTTCTATCGGGTTGGAAGGAAAACCGCTCTAGACGGCGCCTGGAAGAAGGACATGTGAGCATCAAGCTGGGTTCGCTCCCTGACCCCACCTTGGGAGACCCCCCCCCTCTGCGAAGACCCGATCCTGGAGCATGTATCGGGCGCCGGGCCCTTCTCGGACCGCTCCGGAACGCTCCGAGAGCATTCTGGAACGCTCTGGAATGGATTGATCCTCGTCCTGGCCCCGTCCGACCCCCCCCCCCCCGCGCGCGACCCACCGAAAGCCGTGCACCGAAGGTCCCTCCAGCGAAGGGTCACCCTCGCGTGCATCCAGAACTCCAAAGCAGCCTGGTGGCTTCGAGCCGCTGGGCCCCGGACCCCTCGAGATCCCTGCCCAGTGGCCGGCTATATCTCGGTTGTTCTGCGGCCGCACTGGATGCCAAAGCGGCGAGCACAAACTCCTGCGCGACACGTTTCCGAGTCGCCAGAGTGTCGGGGCCCTGGGAGGCGGCCAGGAGGTCGGGGCTGGAGAAGCGCAGAGAGAATCGGTCAAGAAGGGGGGTGAAGTCAAATTCGCACAACGGGTCCCTCCCAAGAGCGAAACTGACAATTTTTGCGAACCGCGTCCAGCTGTGGCGACGAGGGGGCCCCTTCCTCCCCCCCTCTCTGCTGGCCAAAGCCAAGGCTGGGCCGACTCAAACCCCCCAGCGGGCTCCAACCAGAACCCATCCCTCGCAGAGCCTGAACGCCCAAAGAGCTCCGTGCAGGCTTCGAATGGCATGCCTGGTGGTTGCGCTCGGGGTCCACGTGGTGACGCAGCTGCGCCATGATGTCAGTCGGGAAAAGCCCCAGGAAGTAAAAGTCCTCGAAGGCCTTGGGGGGTTAGAGGGAGGCAGAGGTAGAGGATGAGGAGGGCCGTAGCCATTTTGGCACAGCTCTGGCCAAACTTTCCAAAGCTGGATGGGAGACAGAGGCGCGCCCCGCCCAACGAACGGAGTTGGAGGGTCCCCATGAGGGGATGGGTTAGCTGCCGCTCCCATTTGCACTCCACTCCAAGTCAGACTTCAGCAAGGCTTGCCAATAGACCACGCTGCCACTGCCCGGGCGCTGTGGGCAGCCAGGTTGCTCATGACCCGCGGAAAACGCATTTGTTCTTCATCGCGGCGTACCTGGGGGATGGGGTCGGCTTCGCGGGCTCCAGCGTAGACCTGAGGCGGCCGCAAACATTTACACGGAAGGCGGTCATTTCGTTTTGATAGCTGATTTGAATGTTACTCCATATGAAGTGCGGGCCTATGGAGTGCACAAATGCCTTGAAGCTGCTCTGGCTGATCCCTCCGAGCTGCGAGAACGTGATGGTGGAAGGCGCAGTATCGATGTTGAGCTGGTGTTGCATGTTCTTGCTAGCTCGGTCAAGATGTCGTGAAATGTCGGCGCTCCATGGGCCCAGCCTTAGCTCGGCATTATCGATTCGCTGGACGGGTAGGCCCAGGAGCAGAAAATACAGCATATGATTCCTGTTCCACCTCTTTTCACAGGAACCTTCAGGCACGATGTATCATGGAATCGTCAAGAAGAGCTCGTGCGACACTTGGAAGATGCGCCCCCCCCCCGCCACATCATGCGCGTCTCGGAGTTGACAGTGCGCGCGAGTCGTGTCAAAAGCATGCGCACTACAGCCTCGCAGCTGAAGCAACATGTGTGAGCAGAGACGGCCATACAGTCGGCCGTCATCACAGAGGCTGGCACCCTCAATTGGAACTGGCACTGAATGTACACGGGGTAACTACACAGGGGCAATCCGCACAAGGCAGGCACGCGTAAACAAGGCTTCTGAACGACGGCAGTGTCGCACTTTCAACTTTTTGCGTCGGCGGCGGGGCAGGGGTCGTCTGCGCCAGCGGAATGAGCTGAACGGGGGCGCCGTTGAAGCGAATTAGCCAGCATGCAAGAGCGCGAAAACAGGACAGGACAAGCGGCCGCAGAGGAGAGGGGCGAGGGCCGCTCAGGGGCAGACCAGTCGCGTCCCTGCGCGGCTTGCCCCGCCGGCGGGGACTGTAGAAGCAGTTAGGCCGCTGCGCCAGTGCACCAGCGGAGGCGGGGTCCAGTACGGGTACTGCACGTAGACTCGACAGCGAGTCGCCGACGAAGAGCACGAGGTGCAAGGCTGGCGGGCCGCGCGTCGCCCAGGTGGGGGCGCAGGACGAAGTGCGGGTGAAAGCGCATCCAAGTTGGACCGCATCTTGCAAAATGCTGGGCCAGCATGGGGGGAACAGGCGGAAAGACTAGGCTCAGGATCCCGAGAGCGTTGCGGCTGCAGGGGGCAGCAGCCCGGGCGCCATGGCGGCGCGCGGAAGGAGGGAGAGCGGGCAGGGGGGGAGGGAGAACAGGGAGGAGGAGCGCTCCGCCTGCGAGAAGCCCAGCAGGCCGAGCGGCAACGCCAGTGCCGCGCCGGCGGCATCGGGCTGCATGCGGCGCGCTGGGCTGCTGCGGCTGGGGGCACCCGAGGCTGCGGCAGCCCAGGGCTGAGGCAGGGGCCGCAGCCCAGTGCACGGGCAGGTGGACGGAGGAAGTGCAAAGAACGGCGTAATGACCGTGGAGGGCCATAGCGGCTGCTCGCTGCCAGGGTGGGCAGCAAACGGCACGCAGCAGGCCAGCCAAAGCTGTGGCCAAAGCCACCGGCCCCCACTGCCGGGTGGACAGGGTGGGCCAAAGGAGGGCCAGGGCGGCCGCTCGCTGCCGGGGTGAACAGCAAGCGGCGCTCCGTGGCCAGCTAAAGCTTTGGCCTATCCAGCGGCCCCCGCTGCCGGGGTGGACACGGTGGGCCAGGTCGGGGGCACCGAATCGGTGCAAGAAAATGTGCTGTAAGGGCAGACCGCTGTGGCTGCACGCCACCGGGGTGGGCGGCGCGCAGCCGGCGGGCGGCCTACGGAAGGGCGCGGGGCAGGGAGAGCAAAGAGGAAGCCACGCGCCGCCGGGGTGGCAGACGTGTGGCAACAGGGTCCGCCAGTTGGCTCAGGAGTGGATGACGTCAGCTGGAGTTGGCCCTGGGGCGGCAGGTGGATCCCTTGGCGATTGGTCAGGGGGCCAGGCACAGGGGGTGACTGGGGCTCGGGTTCCCCGGGGCCGGGGCGCGGCAGGGTCGTGACACCAACGGGGTGAGCGCGCCCAGGCGTCGGACAAGGGTGGGCATCAGAGGTATGGTAGGTCGGTGGAGTTTGGAAGGCGCTGCCTGGACTGGTCGTTGTTGGGCCAGGAGGGGTCAGCACGTCTTCTGCCTTTCCACGCAGGGTCCTGGCCCTTTCCTTTGCCCTTGCCCTTGTCCCGCTGCTGCTGCTCGTTGCGCCGCAGCTGCTTCTGCCAGGCAGCGTGCCAGTCGACGTGGTGGCCCCGCATGCTGCAGACTCTTCGGATGTCGAAATTCTCTCCCCGCAGCTGGAGCAGTACTTCTACGCAGAAGCCGTCATGCCCCAATGGGTCGTGGGGTGCCCCTGCCAAGTCGACCGTCCCGGGCGTCGCAGAGCGCGTTCTAGGAAGGTGATCTGCAACTAAGCCAGTAGGATGTGCGCGCCAGCTCACCCTGGATATTTTCTCTGCCGAGGCTGAGAAGGAATGCAAGGAGGCCTTCCGAGAGCAGCAGGCAGGTTTTAAGAAGAAGTGATTGTGCGACAGCTTGCAGGGTGGCGCGCGCTGGGCGCACTGGCACACCACGCACTGGGGCACCCGCCAGAAATTGTGCAGCAGGGGGAGGATGAGGATGGGCAGCTCGAAGGAGGGATGCAGGCGGCAGTACGCAGGAAGCGGGAGCGCTGAGAAGGCTTCTGACAGGCATCCCCCGAGCGCCCCTTGGAGCAACAGTGGTGGCAGGAGTTGAGAGAGGCAGCGGAGGCTGAGAAAGGGAATCTTCCCCCGCTAGCCCCGGATGCATGATCAACTGCATGCGGCAGCTTCAAAAAGCACCTGGGCATGGGGGCTGACCAGTGGCACTCATCACTCTGGAAATCTCTGCCTACAAGGGCGCGGCAAAAGCTTCTGGGGATCCGTGGCACTGAGGATGAGCTAGCGTGGCCAGCCCCCATGCTGGCAAATGAGATCGGTCTCCACCCTCAGCCGCCGCCACAAGGCGGACACAGGCCAATTGCCCGCACGCAGTCCCTGTATCGCGTGTGGTGGAGGCTCCGGAGAGAACCCGTTGTGGCCTGGGAGGCTGCCAAGGCGGGCTTCTGGGACAGCGCTGTTCGTGAGTCCAGTGCGCTGCGAGCAGGCTTCCTACGAACCCTCAAAGTGGAAAAAGGTCGGCACATAGGTTTCGACTAGGCCCAGGCCACGATAGATTGCGAGAAGTTCTACGACACGTTAAAATCTTCATTCCTTTTTCCACTACGGCCGTGCCCTGGAATACCCATTAGCGGTTATGTATCTTGGAATGGCAGTGCATATGGCCGACCGTGTCATAACAATGCAAGGTGCAGCATCGGACCTCATCCACGAAGAACTTCGATGATGGCAGGCTGTGTCCAGAGTGTCGCGTGGAGCCGGGCGTATCTACACGATCTGCCCCAGGAACCCCGTGCCGGTTTTCTTCCCAAGGGAGTGATGCAGGAATCGCACCAGGGCATTTGTCTACTGGAGGTTCGGACTTAGGTCGATGACACAGCATTGCAGACTCTTGGTATGGCTCTGACCGTAGTCAGACAATGTTCGGCAATGCTGGTCCACTTATTCCGTCGAATGCACGGACAAGCACAGAGAATCGAATTTCGGTAAAGGCAGTTCTGCCAGCTAGCCACCCCCAGCTCGCCCACCAGATTGCTGCCAACCTGCAGGATGGCATCAAGCTGAAGCTGTCAATGCCTGTCGAGATTTAGGCATAGACTTCTCGAGTCAGATGCGCAGTACCACAACGGTTCAGGGTAGGATTAAGAATGCTGTCGCACCTGCCAGTCGAATCAAAGGTCTAATCAAAACCCACTGCATGGCTTAACGTTTAACCCACACAGGCTATAAGCCCCAGGGTTCACGGGGCCTCGCGGGGCAGGGAGCTGCCCCCACTATCCTTTTGAAGACGAGGAGCCGAATTGCCGCCATGAGAGGCGTACAAGGCCATGGAGGATGCGCCACAGTTGCGCTCAGGTTAGTTTTCACCCAGCTAGATGATCCTTTTGTGTTCGGTCGCCTTGACTTGGTCAAGTCTTGGTTGGACATTGCGCCACACATCGGCTGGACCACGCCATGTTTGTCGAATGCGTAGGGTTGCTGCCGGCAGGCAATCGCAAACGCTAAGTCTCCATGGTGTAGAATTTAAAGGGCCAGTGGATGCCCTGATGGCGATGCTCCTGGAGCTCGGCTGGAAAACTGCGAGACCCTACAAGTGGCATGATGATGGGCCCGTTTATCATCTTGCCCCAGGGCTAGCCACCGACCAACGCACGCCCTTTCACCTTCAGCCTGCTAGAAGCAGCCCCAAGGGATGGAGGCAGTGCGTTTTGCCGAGGTGGAGGGAGCGCTGGAGCAGAAGGTGTGGAAGCAGCATGCGTCCCAGCAATTCTGTGGAGCTGGCGTGAAGTCCGGAAGCGACCTTACTCCCCTACGCCGCCAGCTCGGGAAATTGAGGTCTAAGTGTGAGGCCAGTCTGACTGCCCTTCTCGAGATGGTGGCTATCGGCGCCCTTTGGCCCACTGTACGCAGCGCACTCCCCGGGCTCCCGTCGGGTCCGAGGAGCGTCCTTGCTGGCGGTCAGGAGGAGAGGAGGAGGATCCTCTTCACTAGTTGTGGGGCTGTCCCTGCAATCCCCCCCTCGCTCTAGAGAACCGGAGGGGGAGGAGGAGGAGGAGGAGGAGGAGGAGGAGGAGGAGGAGGAGGAGGAGGAGGAGGAGGAGGAGGAGGAGGAGGAGGAGGAAGAGGAGGAGAAGGAGGAGGAGCAGGAGAAGGAGGAGGAGGAGGAGCAGGAGAAGGAGGAGGAGGAGGAAGAAGAAGAGGAGGGGGAGGAGGAGGAGGAGCAGGAGCAGGAGGAGGAGGAGGAGGAGGATTAGGAGCCCGAGGACGCCTACCTGCCGAGCTTCCTTGCTTGCGGCTCTGCGGCCTGGCTCTCTCGTCCTGCTGGGCCCGCGGCCTTTTGCCCATGCGCGGCCACACGGCGAGGCCCGCTGTTTCGTTAAGGGGATCTTCGACGCCGGAGGGCGCGTGCCCCTAAGCTAAATCGGGCGTGTCCCCCTGCAGGAGGGAGGATTTTGGACGAAGAATGCAAAATTGTCAAACCAAAATATACCCAAAGCATACTCAAACATAGTCAAGAAGAATCGTCCCCAGACTATTATATTACTATTTTTGAATTTTCCTCCTGTACGGGGACACGCCCGACTTAACCCTAAGCGCTGACGATGGGGTCGGGCCCGGACGGGAGAGGGGGCGACCGCACAGTGGATAAGCGCATCCGTCGATGCGGACGGGGCTGCGCCATCGTCCAGGGAGACCGTGCTGTAGGCAGAGCGTACGGCACCCTGCCAGGGCGGGTCCAAGCGGTTCCCCTGCCTAGCAGAGCTGGTAGGTAGCAGTGGCTCTGCAGCACACCAGTGGCTCTGCAGCACACCAGTGGCTCTGCAGCACACCAATGATAGACTGCCAGAGTGCGACTGATGGGATTCACCATGGACCCACTGGAGGCATGATACCAATTCGGCAGCGTGGTTCGACTTCTGGGAGGCCTATGGAGGCCATCCCGGGCCGTGCCACTTCGTGAAGGTAAAATCTTACCTCCCAGAAGGGCATGTTGGGGTCCACATTACCCGTGAGGACTTTACCGCCAATCGGGCTGCTGATGAGTGTGCCAGGGAAGGATCGCGCAGGGCCAAGCTCCCACAGCATGTCATCCAGCAAGTCGTTGACATCGGTAAGAAAGCCGTCCGCGTGCAGAGGCGCTTGACAGAAATCGCCCTGCAAGTGGCCATCCAAAATCCATCCCTGTATTCGGCCACTTCTGAAGCTGATCGCGTGGCCCGCAAAGAAGCTTCCAGGGCTCAGCGTCACGCGAACGTTGAGCAAGCTCTGCAGGAGACAGCGGACAGCATGATCGAGAAAGGGGGGGGTACAAGTTCTGTACGGTTTGCCGAGGGTGCCCAACCAAGGAGCGTGGAACGCTGGATTGATTTGTCTCGCATTGCTCAGGTAGGCCTCACCAGATTCATCAGAGCCATGCGTTGTCCTGTGCTCGCAAACTCTGGTGGTGTCGCATGTGCGGGGGATCTACAGCAGTGCGAACAGCAGCTCAGGAATGCAACGCCTCTGCCACCCCCCCACAGTCTGGGGCAAAAAGGGGCTATCTAAACTCATAGACGGCCGCCTTCCCCCCCGTCTGAAGACCTGGCCAGACGTGTCCAGCAAAGGGACTGGGAGCAAATGGGTAGTTTTTCGCGTGTGCTGTCCCCCAGTGCCATGGTCGGATGTGGGGACTTGGAGTGCGCGCCAGGAAGAGGAGGAGGATGAGGAGGAGGAGGAGGAGGAGGGGGAGAAGGAGGAGGCGGCGCTCAACACGAGTCCGATGAGGGTCACAGTAGGGGGGAATTAGGGGGATCCCATCAAGCGCAGCTGCTTGACACCCCGCAACATGAGGAGCACTAGTGGCAGCCCAGTGCCAGCATGGGCGGTGCCGGTGCACGGCCCATGCCGAAGCGGGCCCTCTCCAGACTGACAGAGAAGCGAGACTACATCGGCACAAAACCTTATCGGGAGGAGGAGGAGGAGGAGGAGGAGGAGGAGGAGGAGGGGGAGGAGGAGGAGGAGGGGGAGGAGGAGGAGGAGGAGGAGGAGGAGGAGGAGGAGGAGGATCCACGTGTTTTGGCTCTTTGGCCCTGTCGGGGGAGCCTCTGGAGGCCTCCGTGGGCCCCGCGGGGTCTCCCGAGATCTCTGGGGGCCTCCGGGTCTTTGCGCTTGGCCAGTCCGCCACGGAGAACAAAATCAACGCGGCGTGGCCTGGGACCCGCACTGCGACATTCTTTTTTTCCACCGCAGACACCCCAGACATGAGTCATACAAAAATCAGGACGGGAGGTCTTTGCCAGTTTTCGGCCTCGGGGGGGCCCTCGCCAGGCCTCGGGACCGTCAAAAAACAATTCAGGATGAAATACCGGTCCTGGGGAAAGGGTCGGGACTTCCAGGGACGCCGTCCTGAAAATATCAGGACGTCGCATGTCTGGGACGCCACCACCCGCTCGTCATAGACGGTCGCCCAAATTCGCTGGACATAGACGACGGCGTGACCAAAGGCGGCCGCCGACGCGAATCTGTCAGAGAACTTCGAAGGCCCAACGAGGACGAGCGGCAAGGGAAGCGAGGAAAGAAGCAGCGCCAAGGCGACGCCGAACGACCCGCAGTGCACTGGGGAGGCTGCTGGATCGGCCCGGGCTGCTGAAGGCGTCGCCGCCAGCCGACGTGCCCGACGGCTGCGCCGTGGCACGTGCGCTGTGGATACCGTGGAGGCCAGTTCACAAGAAACATTCCACAAGAAACCCAACCCTGAGACCCCAGGGCGTCCATGGATTTTTGGTGTGGGATCGTCACGCTTTCCATCGCAAAACCATCGAAACCCGGGAAACCCAGGGAACCCTGGAGGCAAGCAGGGTTTCTTGACATGGGCCCCCACTATAAAATGAGGGTGGGGGCAGAGGCGTGCACGCACCCTGCTGCTGAAATGTGCCTGCGTCCACCGCCGAGCCACTCTAACTCGGACAAGGGCGAGAAAAGTGGAAGAGGAAGAGGAACGTCGCGGGAGGCGGTCCGATCAGTGAGCTCGAGAAGGCCGGCCAAGAGGCGCCACAAAAGCGGACGGGACGGCACGAGCTCTGACGATACTCGAAGGCGGCAAGGCGACAACGAACACGGCCGCGGGAGGGGGCAACGAGGACACATAATAAGGACAAAGAGGTTGAAGTATGGAATGGGGGAGGGTGCCCGCCTCAATGAAGTCCGCCCAGGATACACAGAGGGTGTCGCCGAAGTACGTGTCCCAGAACCTCACCGGCACTGGCTGGGGAGGGAAACGCGGTCGAGCTGAGGGACGAGGATGAGAGCGAGGAAGAGGAGAACCGAGGAGGAACGAGGCGGACAAGGAGGAGGAGGAGGAGGAGGAGGAGGAGGAGGAGGAGAAGCATGATGGAGGATGAATAGGAGATGGACGAGAGAGCGAGGAGCGCCAACACAGGAGTCCAGGAATACCGGGGCACTCAACGCAACGACTATGTCGGCCACGGAGCTGGCCAGGCCGCTCTGGTCGCAAGAGACACTGTTGTTGGACAGGTGTGCGTCTGCGAATGCCGCTATGATAGCATCTGGCTTCTAAGGCACCGTTCAGGGCGTCCACCTCGCTTTACTTTCAACCGAGAACACACCTCAGAGAAAACCCCCGATGATGCAAACTGCAAGCTTCCCAACTAAGCTCGGGAACCCTCTCGGCATCCTGCCATCCTACCCTTTTAGAAGGACGCAACGCCTTGAAGACGAAAAGGAGGAGGAAAGGGAGGAGGAGGAGCAGGAGTAGAAGGAGGATGTGGACGAGAATGGCTGAACTCCCAAATCTAACATCGGCGGCGCATCGCGTCCGCCTCGGCCCAACGGGGAGCGAGAGAGGAGCTCTGTGGCTGACACGACTGGCCGGGGCGAGCAGCTATCAGCGGCAGGGCTCGCATCACCAGCCACCCACAAACATAAATCCCTATGGCGTCCCCGCATGGCGTGCCGCGGCCGCCACTGCAGGCCAGCGCAGAGTCCTCTGCGGCGGCCAGCGTAGCGACGGCCCGCCTAGGGCGACGCTGGAGCATGCAAGCGGCGACCAGGGGGGGAGGAAGCGGAAGAGGGAGGGGAGGAGGAACGCTCGCGACGACCGTCGCAACGAAGCGCTCGCCCTCTATGCGGTCCCGACAAAGAAACGGCACTGTGATCCAGACTTTTACACGATCCAGTCTGCAATCTTTTACAAGATCCAGTCTGCGCAGCGGCAGGCGGCGCATGCCCAGGAGCCCTGCGAAAAGCTCACGGGTCTGCATGGTTAGCCACGGCGGCCGCATAAGAAGACGGTCCGGTTGCACACCATCGGTGCGCGTGCAAATGTGCAAGCGTTCGGCTTCCCACGAACAGACCACGCGTCTCCCAATCACAACAACTTCGCCACTTTCTGAGCCATAGCGTGACTTGGGCATGACTCTCCGATTGTTACCCCGTGAACCAACGCTCAACCAAACTCCACGGCTCCATCGGCGCATCCGTGCCGATCACCTCCGCTCGCTAGCACCTTCTAGGCCACCGCTCCGTCGGGCATCCGCCCTTCAGGATGAATGTGTCCTTCAAGACGGCATCCCGCGCGACCACGACACGAAATCCTCGCTGGAACTCTGCGTTGCGGCAGAGGTCCGCGCGGTGTCCACGCACAGAATTTGCGCGGGACAGCCGCCAAGGATACGTCCTCGCCCAAGAACTTGGCGATTCGATTTGGAGGTATGTCGCGCACGGATCAGCCCGGATGTCCGCCTGCCGTACCACCACAATGCGATTGTCTGGAAGGCCCTGCCGCAGTAGCCAAAACGCCTGGCCGACCCTCCAGCGGCGGTAGATCTTGGGATCCCGCATAAACATGCCTTCTCCCAATGGTCTTTCGCGCACGTGCAGTACTTGTCGTAGAACAGCTTGTACGAACAACTGACCAAAGTGTCGCCGCGACGCCCGCGCATTCACATGATTACCAGCAGCGGGTCGCGCGCGACCGCACGCGCCATTGCGCTGGCATTTCCGCTCCTCCGACGCGGGCCCAGGCGGACATCGCGTTCTTCTTCCACCCACAATGTTTCCCTACCTAGGCTCTGCCTAGAAAGGTTATTACTCGGTGAGCTTAAAAGGGCCGGGCAGTGTTCCACGCCCGGGCGGTTCCCCCGGCATCAGCCCCGCGGTTCCCCCAGTTACGTCTCCTTAGCTTAGCGTTGCTTATCTCATCTTAGCTTAGCTTATTTCATCTTAGCTCAGCTTAGCTTCATATTAGCTCAGGTTTGTCTTAGCTTAGCTTACCTTCATCTTAGCTTTGCTGAGCTTTAGCATAGCAGAGCACAGCATAGCATAACATAGCGCAGCACAGCATATCATAGCATAGCATAGCGCAGCTTAGCATAGCATAGCATAGCATATTACAGCATAGCACAGCGCAGCATGCCATAACATAGCTTAGCATAGCATAGCATAGCATAGCGCAGCACAGCATAGCATAGTCTAGCATAGCATAGCGCAGCATAGCATAGCATGGCATGGCATAGCATAGCAACTAATGCTGCTTTGCTGCTTTCCTAGGGGCTCCAACTTCTAGGTAGGGTCGCAGTGGGGTAATGTTTAAAGTAATCATGGGAAAATTACGCCTCTGAGTATCACCTTCAGCCCCAGCGCACAGGTGATCACGCGCCGCCTCTGCACGCTTAGGAGGACCTCGGGGCCCTTCCGTCTCAGCACGCGGAGCCGCACCTTCCCCCGCGGCGCTGCATGCCGCCAAAGTGCTCCACGTGGGCCTTTTCGGGGACCCAGGCCGAGCTCGTCGAATACATCATCCTCGACGTCTCGCGGGGTGGTGAAGCCGATCCTGGGGTGTTGCTGCAGGTTGCGCTTGAGAGAGCTGGAGCCACAACGGTCCACTCCAGCGGTGACGAAAGCCACGTCCAGGCGGTCCTGGCTCAACAACTCTAAAGCCCTGATCAACGGCCGGCACACCTGGCAGGGCTCGTGGTAGTGCGAGGTGAGCATCCTCCTCCACCAATGCAGCACCGACTCATTCGCAACCTGCGACCTGCTGCAACAGCGGGGAATGCAGAAGCCGCCCTGCCCCACCTTAGAGGGTGAGGTGGCACAGCAGCGGAACGGACGGTCAACTTCGGCCCTACCAGCCTCCCCACAACAAGGAGCAACCTGTAGAGCAGCCTCGTCGTGTCCACCAGGTCTCTGAGAGCCTTCACATACTCCTCTCCCTTTCGCTCGTGTCCTTGCTCAGCATCCACAGGTTCCACCAGGCGTCAACACGCTGGTGTTCCTCGGGTGTGTACCTTTTGCGTCGGCGGCGAGGCAAAAGTGCTGCACCAGCGAGCGGCGATCCGGGGCGACCGAGATGCGGATTTGCCGGCGTGCAACAAGAGGGACCAAAAAAAGGGAACGAGGCGGCCGCGGAGGACAGGAGGAGGATGAGCCCATCGAGGATGTACACCGAAGCGGCCGAGGGCACCTCCGCGAAGGCATGCGCGCCCCGGCGTCGTTCCTCGCTGCGGCGGTCTGGCGCCGCCCGCGGCAGCGCTCGGCGAGAGCAGGAGGAGGAGGAGGGAGGCACAGAGCGCGGCGGGCAGGCCCCCGCAAAGCCCGCGCTTCCTTGGCCATGTGAGCGACGAAAGGAGCGCGTCTTACGCAAGATGACACAGCGGCCTTGCGCGGCGGCTTACGCGGGCCGCCAGCGCGGCACGCCACAATGGAAACGTGGGCGCTCACACGCGACCCCACGAGGGCAGCTTACGCGCCGCTGTCGGCGCAGACGACCCGTTTTCCTTCGTCGCCCATGTGGCGGCGGCCAAAATCGCAACGCCCCGGCGAGGTCCAGCGCGGGACATTGAACAGGGAACATGAGGAGGGCACGCGGCGGGGCGAAAGCTTGAGGACCACAAACGAAGTGTGTGTATCCAAGACGGAAAACCCAAGAGGAGGTGGATGAGGGAAAGGAGGACGGAGGAGGAGGAAGATGATGATGAGGACGAGGAGGACAAAGAGGAGGAGCATGAGATGATTTGGGGAAGAGAGGGGTAATACCGGGCAAGAAAGAACATGGAGGAGAGGGGAGAAGAGGGAATCGCCCTACCTGGTCTGCGAGCCTGTGCCCTCGTTGCCGCTTCGGGAGGGAGGACGCGGCGGTGGCGGAACTGCGCCTGGGCCCCGTGCGCCCAGTCAGGCAGAGCGATCGGGTCGTTGCCCGAACTTTTGTAGGCTTTGCCCCCAGGCCTAAGGGAGCGGCCCCGACCAACCGTGCCCACCCAAGCACACCGAAGGGAGCGGCGAGCACAGCCGCGGCACCAGGCGCACCTCACGCCTACGCATCGTCACCCAGATCGAGGCTGAGTTCCTTGAAGAGGTCCTGGGCCTTCTTCTCCAGGGGGGCCTGGCCGAAGTACTGCTCGGATTTCATGCCCCGGCGGAAGTGCTTGATCACAAGATTCTCCAAATAAACGCATTTTGGATACACACGAATGCAAAACTTTACTTGGCTGGAGTTGCACATCGTCCGCAAGTTGCAGCATGGGACGGTTTCTTGGTGCTCGTCGCTTGTTGGCCCGCCTCTGGGATCACTGGGCGGCGAACGGGCCGCAAGGAAGGTCTGGATCTTCTCGACGTCTCCGTCCGATATGCTCTGGCGTACTTCATTCAATCATCATCGTTGTGAATGCCCATTGGCCGGGGCCGCCCTCATCGTGGCAACTCTTGCCTTCTGTGCGGTCGGCGAAGATCTTCTATGCCTTCTTGAGTCCATTCACTGCCGGGCCATCTGCTGCAACCCAGAAGCACACAAACACGACTGTCATTAGCACGCATGCCTCTTGCTCCGTCTGGAAGCACAACTTCACGAGGAGGGGGAGGAGGAGGGGAACGAGGAGAAACATAAGGAGGAGGACCCGGCAAATCACTTCGCGTGCCCTCGGTGCTATGGCCGGACTCGCCTCAAAATCCTGGCCGCCACTACAGGACAGGTCTGGGGGAGGAGGGTTGTATATGAGTTGTTTTAGGAAGGCCCTCCTAGTCGTCTCGCTCTTCTTTTTTTGTTCTCTCTCTCTCTCTCTCTCTTTCTCACTCTCTCCTCCTCAAACGGAAGCTTTGAGAGTTCCGCTCTATTTACTCACAGGTCCCAGGGGCGTGGCGCAACCGACGCAACGCGACTGTGAAGCATATGTACACGCTGCCCAGCCACCGCCTGCACCCTCAACGGGCTCGCATCTGGGCGCGTGGACTTGAC